TGTTTTTCTCGTTGCCATGTTCCCACCAATAACGTAGCTCCATTTTCTGCCTTTAAAAGCACACAAAACCCACAATTCCTCTATTCGCTCCGACGAAGAGCTAACGCTCGAAACGTCAGCTTTTGTAATCGTTACGGTGGCCAATTTACCATTTCAACTTTGTTGATATATCTAAAATAATAAAAGGATGGTTGAATTGTACAAGGACTCTTGTTACCTGATGAATTTTAATTATGGGAATGATTTTTTTGCATGAGAGGAAAAACGAATTAGTCTTGGATGAATTTTGATTGTTGAAACAACTCATCTGAAGGATATATGCTTTTCAGCCTAAAATACCCATTTACGATCAAAATACACAAATCAACTGAAATGCGTTTATGGATTAAATGCGTCTTTTTCGTTGATGTAATCCAATGGAGAATTAATCTCTTGTTTACCAATAAGTACTGTTTCCCAGTCTGATATCGGTCCATCTTCAACGGTGAATGCTGCAACCGATATCTGATATTTTCTTCCTCCGTCCAGTCTCTCGAGAACAAGATGGGTATCCGTGGAATTGACCGTCACAACTTCTCCCATGTCCCCATCGTCATGCCCCCATTGATAATGGTCCTTCCAATTCCTGATATGGACCCTGTATCCAACAAGCCTTCCATTTGCGTATTTTGCAGCAAGAGGATCCCATGTAACTTTGACCCCGTTAGGATCCAGGAGTTCAACGCGCACATTTGGCGGGGCTCTCGATGGAGCTGAAAGGTGGGTCAAAAAAAAGGTCACTTTAATGACTATATCATAGAGTTGTAGACTGAACTTCCTATTCACATTTCGGTGCGATGAATTCATCTAACATCGTTGATTACTATAATAACACTTACACTTTGTGAATACCATGAAACAATGCAGAATCAATAACATCAACAACAGCAAAAGTGTATTTAAGTACGCTACACCAAGGAAGGCAAGGCCTGTTTAACATATGCGTAAAAAAATTACTTAAAAAAGAATCAGTAGTGAGTATGATCACAAAGGACTATAATAATGTAAATTTCACTGTATACTGCTACCTTCTACCAAATCAACGGTATATCTCGGCTCAAATAGACAAGACGACTATAGAGCAGATCTGTGTTCAATCTTTGCTCCAGTGAATATTGGCAGTTGAAAGAACCGAAATAATCCAAAGGAAATTTGCTCATGCATTTAAAACTGAAAAAAAAGAAATTACAAGGCGGACTATTTTCCAACCCGATGTTGGAGATCACTTTCCCGCAAACAATTTAAATTCAGGAATTTACATGTGTGCAAAGAGTGTTCCCAATACGATCCTCTTAATGGTACATATGTTTCAAAACATTTCGACAGTATAAACAAAAGTTCTATTTCCTTACCTCCCTCTGGTGTTGTCACCGAGTCACTCTGGCTAAAATACATGTTATGTTCTGCGAAAGCGACGACATTGAGGATATAGTCTCGGTTGGGCATGAGTAAGTTTTCCAGGCGGTAGGATGTTTCGTGTTCGCTGACTGGCACCATGATGGAAACGTTGTCTTGAGTGAATCTAACATAGAGGCCATGAACGTGCTCATCCAGGGGAAAGTTTCCCCAAGATAGATCAGCTGATAATGAATCTAGACTCGACGAGAAGCTCCATGAGTTCAAATAGGTTTCTGAGACGATAGAGAATATTTGATGTAAGAATAGTTCATACAATTTCGATTTTCTTTACGCTGGTTTGTTTGTTTTTTGTAATCTATTTGTCATTATTTGTAAGTGGGGATTTTTTATTTTTGTTTCACTAGAAATAGATAAATAAATGATTAGAGGGGTTAAACATGGTATCCGTAAAACATTGCTCGATAAATATAGTAGAGCGAGTATAAGGTGTGAGAGGCAGAAAAAAATCAGTCAACTACATTTCATCCCTACAGACCTGTTTCGTGGTTGCCCACTCATCAGGGGATTTTAATCCATTAAAATCCCCTGGTGAGGGGGCAACCACGAAACAAGTCTGTAGGGATGAAATGTAGTAAATAAATGATTAAATAAATGAGTACGTTACCATATATATGGAAATAATGATTTCAAGTGCGATCATAACCGAGCGCTCAGCTAATGTCAACGTATGGACATAACGGTGCTGAGGGTTCTAAGGAATTGCCAAAAAAAACCTGACAAAGTCTTATACGCTAGGGAATGAGGAGGAGAGGGTACCCTGTGGTAGACATGCAACCTGTCTTATTTTAAACCATCTTCATTCATTACCTATGCCGCTTATTGTTTTGCGTGGCTAAGTTATACGGAAAAGATTATGGCCGAGGAAATGCGCAGCAATGAGTAGGGCAGATACCTTCGATCTCGTCAAAGAGTCCATGATACCATGAATGAAAACCATCACCACGTCTGTGATCTTCTCTTCCTTGAGCGAAGAAATTAACGTCTGCCTGGTCGCTGGATACGACAACATGGAAGTGATCAAAGTGTCTGCATACTAAGGAAGGAGTGCCGCTGTCTCCCGTTGAAATGCTAACCCAGTCATTTAACCTAGTAAGGAGGAAAAGGTTTCAAATGATCAATTCATAAGTTTTATAAGTGAATGTTCGGGCAAAGTAATAAACAATCGGTAGTTATTAGGGGAAAGGATGGAGGAACAACGGAAGGACACCTGAATGACCGTTAAGGGAAAAAGGCGGAATATATCAGTACCGACGAAACAATGGAAAAGATAAAAAAGATAAAGAAAAGGGTCGTCACTCGAGCCATGTAGCCCACTCAACCAGAATATGTCCCAGTTTCCTTCGCATGAAGCGAAGGGTATCACTTCACCCTCCTGGATAAAATATTAGTCCATCGTAAGTTATTTCCCACAGAATTTCATCAGGCTTCCCTGACAACTCGCTGGTACCCATTTTATCTTCTGGGTGGAGAAAGGAAATGTGAGAGTAAAGTATTTTGACCAAGAACACAAACACATTGACCTGGACCGGTCTCGAACCCAGACCTTTCTACCCGGAATCCAGTGCACTAATTATGAGGCAGACAATGGTTCCTTGCAAAAGTGGAAAAGGGCTGAGTGTCAATTAAAAAAGTAACGAGGATAAAACGTTAAGAATGTAATGACAAAAATAAACGACACACTAAATTGCAGCCGTATGCATATCTCTAGCTTTGAAAGTCTGTAAGAGTGGAACGAGGCAAGTAGAGCCCAATTTATTGACCAACGGTTCCAGAACGGCCTAGATTCTCACCAGCATCCTTTATCATATTCATATTGCTCCAAACTGAAATCTTCAAACGTCATCCATATGTTCTTGATTGGCTCACTAATATTCGGCCTGATAGACCAAAGGCATTTCTGTTTCCCGTCGTATTGACAAGGTTTATTAGGGCTGTCAATTGTCCCATTGACCATAGTCAGGACGCGTGGTTCCCCGCAACCTTGTAAAAGACAAAAAACTTAGCTCAGCGGTGATATTTAGTGAGTTTTACGTCAGCAAATCACATACTGATGACGTTTCGGGGGTAACGAGGAAGGAGGGACCCTTTTATTTTTCCCATGACGGCTAGTACCTTTGGAGGATCACTTGGTATATTACGTGGACTATGTGTAATTTCGGCAAGCAACAGTTGCAAACAAAATTCTAAAAAATGAAGTCACAAAATCGACAAAGATTTGTGCAAGACTGACCAAAGTTAGGAAATGAAATCACCCTTAACTAGTACTGTAAATCGCCTGTTATTACTTACCAGTGTATAATTCTCTATCATTAAATCTCCCAACCCCTTTGGAAGTAAACCCAGCAACTCGTATACGATACTGCAAACCCGGACGAAGATGGCACACTTTTCCATGACGTTCACTTGGATCGTTGACGTCAAGGCTTCCAGTATGTCTTCTTGGGTCGTCTTCAGAGTAACAACTGGTTTCGTAAAAAATTCTGAAGCCAATAATTTTGCCATTTCTATTTTCCTCGGATATTTCATTCCACTTGATTACCACACACCCGTCCGCCATTACTTCGTAATATTCAATGTGAGGTCCTTCGCTTGGAACTATCAATCGTCACAAAGATGTAGAGATAATTGACAACCATAAAATTTTTTGTAGCAAAATTAATG